CTTAAACCAGTACAAGCATCAAACCTGACAGAGTTCAAGAATCATTCGTACAACACTCTCAGGCACAGGGTGTGATTTTTGGGGTTGTGCTGTGTAGGGCCATGAGTGTTCTGTGGCCACGCACAGGACAGCCCTAAAAATCATATCATGTGCCTGTAAAAGGATCATCGAGTCCAGGAGTTGGACTTAACGATCTTTTTGAGTCCCTTCCAACTCAGGATATTCTATGATTCAAAGCAGTTAACTTTGAATATGTAATAGCAAATCACAAACTAACTTTTTGTGTTTGTTGCCTTTTAATTTCAGTACACATCCACTGGCTCTGGTTTTTTTTTTTTGGTTGTTGTTGTTTTGTTTTTTTTTTGGGGGGGGGACACAAATATATTTTCTGTTTTCCAAAGGGAGATTATGTCATAATTTCTCTAATCACTTTTTATATCTAGGTTTCTCAGCACCTCTAAGATCTATGGCAACCCTTTCCCATTTCCAATTTATGCTGTATCTTCTTAATTACTGAGTGGCCAGAACTGAAGAGATGAGAAAATAAAGTTGCACTATAACTTTCAGTTCTTACTCCGTTCTCTCCTAAAAGCAATTTAACATTCCTTCTGACATTTGAGAGGTTGCACATTTTGTGCCAATTTTTTCATTAAGTTGTCACATTGCTAGCTTTTTAGGATACACAGATGTGACCACAAACTGTTTTTGGCTAATGACTGGCTGAGCTTAAAAGATGCTGTTGGCACAACAGCATACTACTCTTCATTTGGATGAGATGATTTGCTTACTTTTGTTGCTGGGTGAATATACTAGGAGGTCCTTGTGGATGCTCTGCAAGCCCTTACCTGTGGCTTGCAAAATGCTTTATGGGCAATGTGATCCCCATTGCATCATCAACCGCTTTGAACTCTGATATGAAATTTATCAGATAACTTGGATACTTTTCACAAATTATCATAAAACTTAATATGGTCCAGTAGTTTGCTCTGTAAATATAGCTTTCTTAGAAACATAGAACAGTGAATTAAATTTCTTTTTTTTTGGTAACTATATTTCAAAAGTGGCCATAGTATTTTGGTTTTCAAAAGTACAACTTTATTCATGTAAGCTCAAGGGGTTGACACTGGTTGCCTAAGCTACCCATTTGTTACTTCACTGTTATCCCTTGCTACTATACAAAACAGGCAACAAAAAGATGGTTGAGCATGTCAGAGATTGATGAAATTGATGTTTTCTCGTATAAGATAATTAAGATTCATGGAATAGTATAAAAATTTCTCCTCATATTGACTAGAAATTATACTATTCTGTATTATTTCCATGTTTGTGTGTATGTAGTACTATGTTTCCTCTGTTAGGAGGAAGGATAAGGAGCCAGTCAAGGCCATATGGCTGCTGCTCAGCTTATGTGCATCATCTTCATGATAAATTACTCTCCGTTACTTTATATACTTTTCCAGTTTAGTGGGTTGACCCTGGTTGGAAGCTGAGTGCCCAGCAAAGCTGCACTGTTGACTGTACAGAGGATAGAAAATATAACTAAAATTTTGTGCATTGAGATAAGATCGAGGAGAGATTACTCAGCAATTACTGCCATAGACAAAACTGACTCAGCTCAAGGAAATTAATTTAATTTATTAGCGGTCAAATCAGAGTAGGCTAATGGGAAAAACCCCAAACTTTAAAACACCTTTCCCCCACTTCTCCCTTCTTCCTGGGTTTGACTTCACTCCACAATTGCCTCCCTGGCAGTGATGCATGGGGAACAGGCAATGGGAACGATAGTCAGTTCATCATGTTGTCTCTGCTGCTCCTTTCTCCTCATGCTCTTCTGCTCCATCATGGGTTCCTCCTGTGGGGCTGCAGTTCTTCATGAACTATTCCAGCTTGTGTTCCTCCTACCAGATGGTCCATCAGGAACAGACTGCTTCAACATGTTTTCCCCGTGGGGTCACAAGTCCTGCCAGCAAATCTGCTCCAGAGTGGGCTTCTCTCTCCTCAGGGTCACAGGTCCTGCTGGGAGCCTGCTCCAGAATGGGCTTACCACAGAGTCACAGGCTCCTTCAGGCATCCACCTGCTCTGGTGCGGGGCCCTCTGCAGGCTGCAGGTGGATCTCTGCTCCACTGTGGCCCCCCATGGGCTTTTCAGGGCCACATCTGCCTCACTTCAACTCTGGAGCCTGGAGCTCATTCTCCACTGACCTTGGTGTCTGCAGAGCTGTTTCTCCCTCATATCTCGATCCTCTCTTCCAGTTGTTGTTGTGCAGGTTTTTTTCCCCCTTCTTAAATTATCCCAGAGGCTGTGGTGGTTTGAAAAAAAGCCTTTCCCCAGGGGATATTGTTTTTAATACTGCAGCAATTGAAAGCTCATGCGCCCTGCGGAAATTACATGCTCACAGAATCGGAAGAGGTTTATTTTTTAACTGCATAGCTAGAAGGAGAAGCAGCCATGCCTTGAAGAGCCACGTGTAGTGTTGGGCCAGGGGACCCCCCACCCCAGCTCCTGACCACTGGGGCTGAGGGCTTCTTTCCTTTCCCGGCCCTAACTTGGTGGGACTCGGCACGGATTTGTAGCTGAGCCAGGATGCTGAGTTAAGACTGTGCTGCCTTCCCACTGTTGGGGAGGAAAACGGTAGCGAGGTGCCCGATTGGCCACCTAGAGGGCTGGAATCAGCAGACAGACACAGCACTGGAGCCAAGCCAGCGCAAGTCGAGGGGTAACCGGAGAGAGCCAAGCTGAAGAGCCCTGACCTTTGGAGAGGTGGCTGCAGCATACAGTCATGTAAGTACCGAGGGGAGTCTCCCCCCCCTGGGTTTGGGGGAGCCTCTGGGCCCCCACTGTCCTGGCTCAGCCAGGACTGAGGGAGTTAAACTCCTCAGGAGTTTTCCAGTCAACCTCATCGCCTTTTCCCACCGTGGGGGAGGAAGAGTGGTGAGAAGCTGGCTGGACCCTGCAGCAGCAGCGAATCAGACCAGTGAATCCGAGAACAGAGAGAAAGAGAGAGAGAGGCAGTCAGTTGGACTCAGTTCTAGGGTAAGAAATTGAACTAAACTAAAAGCCTTAGTTTAATTGACCTCCTCCTTGACCCCGGGAAGGAGGGGTGGAAATCCCTGAGAGCTCGCTCCCCAGGGGCCGGAATCTCTGAATGCGAAAGAAGAGCAGGGGATAAGGACTTTAACTCCTTGCATTTTGTGCTGCAGAAGAAAGAAGAATTCTAGCTGTGACAAAGCAAAACTGCTGCCTTAAAAATAAGAGACACCACTGCTGGAGAAAATTAATTTGGAAGAGCTGTGGCCTGAAAGTGAAAAGAGGACTTCTCCTTTCTTTCTGGACTCTTTTTTGAAGGAAAGGAAAGATGATCTACGTATATCTATTGTTTCACTATAGAAGAGATAGTTAAAATTGTTATATATATTTATATATGTATATGTTAATAATAAACTGTAATATATTCCCTTCCCCCATACTAAGTTGTTCGTGTCTGAAAACTTCTTCTCTCTCACATTTGAACAATTTGTAGCAAAACTTTTAAAATTAGCTTTTTGAAATTCCTGTTTTTCAAACCACCACAGAGGCACTACCACTGTGGCTGACAGGCTCAGTCTTGACCGTAGCTGGCATTAAGTCTGTGGGACATGGGGAGGTTTCTGGCATGTTCTTACAGAAGCCAGCCCAGTAGCCTTTTGCTACCAAAACCTGGCCCCACAAACCCAATAAATCTTGAAACTTCAGGTCACCTAAAAGATAATTTTAAAGCTTTGACTTGTTTGCAACTTTACACAGGGTCTAATTTTGTAGTCTATTGCTCTTCCCTGTTTACTGACTAAATATCTGTATATGATATTTAGGATTCTACTGAACTGCTTTTAAATATTGGGCACTTGATTTGGCTCTTGTAGGAGGCATGTCCAAAGGTACAGGGGATGTACTGGGGCAAGGGAGCATGTGCCTAAATAGACAACCCAATTGGTCAAAAGGTCACATGGTTCTAGGGGATAAAAGGGAGCATGAGATTTGAATAAAGCCTCTTTGATTCCACCTTATCGGAGAGCTGACAGCATTCTTTATCATATAAAGACCTCCACGTGACAGGCTCTGAAATATATTTTCAGCCTGAAGGTCAGGTCATTTTTCTTTGCAATCACAAAAATTATCAATTACATAATTCTCAATTCTTTAGATATGTAGTGTGTTTAGAGGAGTTGTCTCAGAATGGAAAGATATTTTAAAAAGTCCAGAATGTTATTAGTATTGTGATAACTTTTCAAAATGAAGATTTCTTCTTCAGCTCCAAGGAGACATTAAATTGGAATGTATATTTTCTCTTCTAGAATGTTGGATCTTTGCTTTAGAGATCCGACAGAACGTAATGAGCAACAATTCCATGGGAGTTTATCTTAAGCACTTTTATCACATGAAGCTAAAAAATGTACAAACAGAAATGCATCATAATTTTTTTGAGGAAGAGAAACTATTTACATATGCTTACCTAGAAGAGAGAATTTGCAATGGGGAGACGCAATCTTAAATAATTCAGCTGTATATATGGTCTTAAAGGGCAAAGAACTATTTTAAGTGGCAGCTGATTCTTAACAAACAGCTTAGAATTTTTTAATTAATGTGGGTGACTTTATGGTCTTGAGTTGAATGCCTTGTGTAATTTATGTGAAATTGAAAGGGTTTTCATCACGTCTCCTACCTTGTTTGCTTTTTAATTTCAAGTAACAGAGTCTGAACCAGTAATTCTTGCACTCATCCAACTCTGTAAAGGTCAGACTAGTGCCTGCACTTTCAGTGTCTGCTGTCAAATAACTTATCGTGCTTTTGGATGTGAAATGGGGTTAAAGCTTGAGTATCAGACTTAGACAATGTCCTCCCTTACTACTAAAGCTTCAGATTTCATTTAGGGCCTGATTACACAGATGCCCTGAAGACTAATTTCTCCCACTTGACCTGTGCTCAAATACAAAGGTCAAGTTCTCATTGTATGTGACAATAAAACCAAAACTAGTCATTATTCTGTCTCTTAAGATGAACAGATTTCAGTTCCAATGATGACGGAACTAAATATCAGGAAATATAATACTTTTCCAACAATTTAGCAACTGCACTGTCTCTAAAAACGAACAACACTTAATCCAGGAATAACCTTAATAACTTTTGAAGAATTTAATAACCTTTGAAAACAAAGCTGATCACAAGGGTGGTTGAGAAACTGATAGCACAAGGAAGACAGCTAGTAAGGCTATGCCTTGCCTGCCAAAGCAACTTACACTAACAGGGAAAAATAATAAAAGTGCTGAAAATTAATACCTACTAAAAGATCAGATTTAGCAAAACTAACAATAATGAAGTAGCTGGTGAAGGGTAAGTCATAGGAGAAGCAGCTGAGGCAGCTGGGTTTGTTTAACCTGGACAAAAGAAAGCTCAGGAGTGACTGTATCACTCTCTACAACTGCCTGAAAGGAGATTGTTTCTGGGTGGGGGTCGACCTCTTCTCCTCGGTAACAAGTGATATGATAAGAGGACATAGTCTTAAGCTGTGCCAGGGGAGGTTCAGGCTGGACATTAGGGGTGATTAAATATTAGAATAGACTGCCCAGGGAGGTGGTGGAGTCACTGTCCTTGGAGGTTTTTAAGAAAAGATTGGACATGGCACTTAGTGCCATGGTCTTGTTGACATGGTGGTGTTTGATCGTAGTGGGACTTGATAATCTCTTGAGATCTTTTCGAACCTAAACGATTCTGCGAACAGGCATCTAGTCCAACTGCATGACTGATTCAGGGCTGACCAAAAGCTACAGCATGTTGTTAAGAACATTGTCCAAATGCCTCTTAAACACTCACAGTTTGGAGGCATCAATCAACTCTCTAGGAAGCCTATTCCAGGATTTGACCCATATTTTGCTGATGAAATGATTACAGTCTAAACCTGTCCTGGCTCAGCTTTGAACCATTACCACATATTACAAAATTACAGCATTGGTAAGATCTGAAGAGACCACTAGGAGGTCACCTAGTCCTACATCCCTGCTCAGTCAGGGTCCCCCAGAGCACATTACTAGGAATGTGTCCAGACAGCTTTAGAATATCTCCAAAGAGGAAGATTCCACAGCCTCTCTATATACCAGGGAGAAGAGATCAGCACCTGCATCTCCACTTCCTCTCCTCAGGAAGCTGTAGAGAGTAATGAGGTCAAGGAGTACTTAGTCTCCTTGTCTCTAAACTAGACAAGCCTGCAGTCCTCATATGCTCCTTGTAGGACAATCCTTCTGGCCCTCTCACCAGCTTTGTTGCTCTCCTCTGGATGGTTTTGAATGCCTTAACATCCTTAAATTTGGCCCAGAACCACATACAGTACTCAAGGTGGTGATATTCATGAATTTATCAAAACTTATTTATGAGGGCAGAAAGACGTGGCGTATGTTTGGGATAAGCATAAGAGGACACAGGACGTTCAAGCGTTCTCTCCAAACTTTTCAACTCATGTAGAGTTGAGAACATCTGACTGGAAAAGGCTGTGGATGATCTATTTCTAGATAGGGAATAGACTGTGATGACTTTAAAGTAGGATGAATTGGGTAGAAATGTGCCTTAAAACATGACTCAGCTTCCAGGCTATTGCTTGCTATGAGCAGAGCAACAGAAAAGAGACTGAAACGAAAAGCCAGCCTGTCACGGGCTTATACAGTTTGATTGCAGTCTAAACATGACACTGGTAGTTCTTAAAAACTATTTCATATTCTTAAGACAATTAATTTCAGTAGTCATTTTGCAACCAACCATGTGACCTGTTTTGCTTACAACTTGATTGCCTAATATTTCCCACCAGAAATAAAACTCTTCCTCTTAAATCTCTTCCGCCTTTGATCACAGCAGTTGTTTGAGAAAAAGAATACTATGACTGAAAGAACTGTTTTGTTTAGGGCTTTTTTTTCTCTACTCAGTCAAATATTATCCAGATCTAGCTGAGCTATCCAAAGTATTTAATTGCCAGATTTTTTTTCTGAGAACAAAGAAAACGGCCATGTGCTAAAATAACTGCATGTATAAACTCAGTCAGCTGGGTTCACACTGCTGCTGCCAGAGTGACAGCTGGTGCTTCACTGAGAACATCTGAGACTGCCAGAGGGGGTGAGAGAGAAGACTGGGGCAAGACTCCAACCCCACAAAGATCTGCTGCTACCATTGTGGGGCTTCCAGAAAAGGTAAAGTGCACTTTTTTTCTTTCTCTCGTCTTCTCCTTTGACATTGTAACTTTGCTTTCTTCCTTACAGCCTTGCACTTTCCTCTCCAAGTGACTTGGTGGGCATCTCACAAAGTACTTGTTTTTTTTTTTTTTTTTTTTTTTTTAAGTTTTTGTTTTTTTTTTTTTTTTTTTTTTCTGGTGTTAATGTCACTCTGCATGAATCTCCTGACTCATGGCACCTCTGGGAATTGCACTAGGCAGAAAGCATGCTGCGGTTTTTTTCCCACTCTTTTGTACCTGGTTCTATTTATAGGAGATCAACATAAAACAAGTAGTTTGAATATTTCTGCTTTTCTGAACTAGAAGCAGTGAAAGAAAAGCCTGATGCTCCCAGTTTAAGACAGGGAGAGAGATAATGGGAGGGTTCATTGTTCAGCATTCATTCTCACTTCTTGAGGACCAGTGCTTGGACTCAGTGGTCCATCCATGCCAGGAAGTTACCAAGTTCTTGGGCTTTTCAATAATTTCTTTAAATGGTAACTTTATGCTTCAGTGCTTATACTGTTGTGTAGACCAACAACTATTGGTTCTTCCCAACCATCACTGAAGATTTAGAGTGGCAGATAGGATGCACAGTGTTTTTCTGAGTATAAAACTGGGAAGCTACATACAAATCACTTTCTTCCCATCAAAAAAAGCCTCCTCTGCAAATCCTGTGCAAAAAACTGTTTCTGAAACCTAGTACTCAGTAGATGGAAAGGCCAGAATTTATTGTTTTATAGCTAGTTTCTAACACAGTTGTGATCTCTTCTCAGAGGACTCCAAACTTCCTTACTGCTGGGACTGAATGCATCAACTTTGTGTGCAACTGCAGAGCTGCCATTTCTGAACTTTCTAGTGCCTTGGTTGGTTCTCAAGCAAACAAATTCTAGTACAATCAGAGTTTTCTGGGATTAAGAAAATGGAAGCTTTGTAGGGCTTCCCCAGCTGGGTATTTACAAGGTTTGTCAACAGGATGGCAAAGAGATTGGGTCTACTAGGTGCTGAACTTAAGTCAGCTGCTTTCTTAGCTTATTTGTGATGCATCTGAGCATAAGGCTCAGATTCATTCAGATATCATTCTTTTAAAGTCTGTGACTCTGTCCTCTAAATGTGACTGCTTTCCAGAGGACAAGTGAGATTTAAAAGTCTTTCTTCATTGCTGCTCTGTGATACAGGTAATAAAACTATGATAGCATAAAGCTGATTCTACACATGCAGGACTGTCAGTCATA